GTGGAGGATGGCCGCACCTCCGTTCACCAAGAGTAATAAGAGAAATGTCGTACCTTGTCAGTCTTGCAGGTCCCGAGTGTCCTTGTGGTTGCTGGAAAGCAGAATGTGTTCTTAAGCCCCAGGAGTCTGCGAGAGCACTGTCTCTTTAAATATCCAAAATAGTCAAGCCACTTTTTAACCTTCAAAATGGCAGTGTCCTCCAGGCCGGCAGAAGTCCACAACTCAGCCCACCTTTCTCTTCACCTTCTCCGTTTGTTCCCCAGCCACCATGCACAGTCCTCTGTGCAGTCCCTGGCAAGCAGATTTTTAGGTTAATTCTTAGGTCCTGCCACCACTCAGGAATCTCCAAGCTGTCTGTGCCTCCAGGATCGCTCGGGATTGCTGCCAGACCGCAGCTCCGTCTGTCTCCTTTTTGGTATTTTCACACAAATTCTTCTGCTAGTTGGGGTGTAGTCCACTTCTGTATCCTTACCTTCAAGGCTCAGGAGGATTATCTTCTGTGTCTGTGTTAATTGGTTTCCCTTTTCTTTGTTGGAGAGGGTCTGTGCAGTCTTTCTGCCTAGTCCGCCATCTTGCCGGATGTCTGGTTATTTATTACGATAAAGACTGTTTTCTTCATATATTAAGTTCTGGCAGGTCAGTGGTCAACTTCAAATGTTCTTAAAATGGTGAGAGCTGATACTAGTTTTTAAAGTATGTCTTGTATTACTGTATCATATTCAATAAACTTTGGAAATTTGAGCAAGTTTTTTCTGAGAATAATACTTGATTTCCCATGATGCAGATTTTGCTATCACATGTAGGCCTTACATTGATTCTTTTTTGAAAGCACCTATAAAATTTGAGAATCCAAAAATAATGTAAAAATAAATTGGTCATTTCATATGCATTCTCCACTAGAATATTAAGACATTTTCTGATAATTTGAGACTGTATCTTTCTTATATAAAATCTATGATTTTTCTAAGGGTGTTGAAACTATATGAATTTTTTAAGAAATGTGTGGGTTTTCAGCAATGAAAAGCAATTAGTATTTTTTCACTGTGCTATATTAACATTACTTTGTAGGTATGTGTAATGCGTGATGAGGAGAAATTACTGAGGATTAAAATTAATGAACTAGAGAAGAAGAAAAACCAGTGCTCTCAGGAAATAGATATGAAACAGCGAACCATTCAGCAACTCAAGGTAATGGTTTTGTTTTTAAAGATGATTTAAGTAGATTCTGTTGGTATATTTTAGTGTCTAATTCAATGTATGAGAAGCCTTGGTGATGCAGTGGTCAAATGCTGGCTGCTAACTGAAAGGTCAGTGGTTTGAACCTGCCAGCTGCTCTGGAAGCAGAAGCTATGGCAGTCTGTTTATGTAAAGATTATAGCCTTTATCCTCCATCCTTTCATGGGTCATAATTGACAACAGAGGGTTTGGTTTGTTTTTTGGAATTAAATGTACAATTTAGTACTTTATAACAAATTCTGTTTTGAACTTTTCTGGAGTCTAAAAATAAATAAATCCATAGTAACTTGCTTCTAACAAATAGAACATGGAAAGAAAAAAATTCCTAGTTTGCAGTGGAGAAACTTGTTAGATACCACCATAACCAAGTATACAATAATAATGTCACCAGTACTAAGTCGCAATGATAGGGCATATCCTCTCTGTGCTATTGTCATAAAGCAATACCTCCTGTCTAATCATGAGAAAACATCAGACAACCCAAATTGAGGATGTAAAAGCATACCTAGTATTTTTTGCACTTTGCAGATACTACTTGTTTTTAAAAAAAAAATGAAGGTTTGTAGCAGCCCTATGTGTAGCAACTCTATTGGTGCCATTTTCCCAAAAGTACATGCTCACTTCATGTCTCTGTATCACATTTTGGTGATGATTCTTATAAAATTTCAAACTTCTTCATAATGCTGTTACATATTTAGGCTTTTGTTTAGTTAAACATAACTTTTATATGCACTCAAAAAACCAAACTCACTGACATTAAATTGGATACAACTCATAGCGACCCCTTCTTGGGTTTCCGAGAGGGTATCACTGTGGAAGTATATTGCTCAATCTTCTTTCCAAGGAGTGGCTGGTGGATTTGAACCACCAGCCTTCTCATTAGCAGTCAAATGCCTTAGGCACTATGCCACCAGAACTCTTTTATATGCACTGGGAAACCAGAAATTTTGTGTGACTCACTTGATTATAATAATTCACTTTATTGCAGTGGTCTGAAACTGAACTCACAGTATCACCTAGGTAGCTTGTACGACAAAATACTTGACTAGTACTCTTCAAAAGTGTCAAGGGCATTTAACACAAGGAAAAACTGAGGAATTACCACAGATTGGTAGGGACTAAGGAGACATGAAACTAAGTGTAGTGTTGTAACTTAAATAAGATCCTGGAACAGAAGAATATCATTGGAAAAACTGATGAAATCCAAAGAAAATCTGTAGTGTAGTTAATAGTATTGTACCAATGTTAGTTTCTTGATTTTAATAAATGTACCCTGGTTATGTAAGATGTTGACATTAGGAGAAACCTAACAGAGGTTATACAGGAAATTTCTGTGCTATCTTTGCAGGCCTTTTGTAAATCAAAAATTATTTCAAAATAAAAAAGGAAAAAAGTACAGTCTTAATAATACTCTTTTCTAAAAATAAAATCTATTTTATATGGTAATATTTTGCTTGGCATTGATTAAATGAGTAAGATGACAATAAGAAAGAAGGGAAAATGGGAATATTTTATATAGGTTGTCCTCAGTTTAAAAGTCATTCAAGTTATGATTAACTGCATTTACAACTCTTTTTTAAGTCTTATCATTAGTACATTGTTCTAGTGATTAAGTAGTACATTGTAGTACTACTTAAAATGTTGCAGCGTCTAAAGGGACCATACAGACAACTCTCACTATCCCATGGATAATCCAGATGTTCCAGAACCTTCCACAAGTTTGGCTATTATCACAACTCAAAAAATGCCAACATTGTCCATTTTTTTATGGATATGTGTATTTTTTTACATATGTATATATTAAAATATTCTTGTAAGGTTATATGCAGTGTTTCCAAAGATAGGATATATAGAGACTGATAATAAAAGGCTATCATAAGGAAAACTAATTTTTAAAAAAAATGGTATTAGACTCATATAAAAACCAGTTCATGAGAGAGTTGTCAGAACAGAACAGAACCCCACTGTAAATTGGAGGCTACCTGTATTCTTCCCATTGTTGCTTTTAAGCAAAGCAAACTAATCACTAACCCCCCAAAAAAAACAAACTCACTGCCATCAAGTCAGATCCAACTCATAGCGACCCCTCCTTGTGTTTCCGAGGCAGTATCATTATGGAAGTAGATTGCCTAATCTTTCTTCCAGGAGTAGCTGGTGGGTTTGAACCGCTAGCCATCTGGTTAGCAGTCAAATGCTTTACGCACTATGCCACCAGAGCTCCTAACTAATCACTATTAGATATAAAAATGTGATTATTTTCATTATTTTTGACTGAATATAATCCTAACAAAACAAAGTGTGCTTTAGTTATAGGATTTAGAAATATCCAACTTCCATAATGACCAATTTTAAGACATAAAGTGAGGAGATAGTGCTGAAGTTGGATGAGATTAGAAATGAAGGGTGGGTGAATTATGTGACAGGTTGAACCCCAAATGGAAGGTTATCCAGTTCCCATAATTTAATCTTGGCTTTTAAGGTTCTTCCACTTTTTTCAAGTCTCCCTGCTACTTTCTACTTAAAGGGGATGGAGTGGTCCTGTTTTTCTGCATTTTGAGTTTACAGATAGGAAACTTGTTTTTTATGATTTTCTTCACTCCTCCTATGTTAAATACACAGTAAACAAAAAAAAAACCAAACCAGTTGCTGTTGAGTCTGACTCATGGTGTCTGCATGGATGTCAGAGTAGAACTATGCTCCATAGCGTTTTTTTATGTCTGACTTTTTGGAAGTAAATACCCAGGCCTTTCTTCCAAGGTGCCTCTGAGTGGATTTGAACTCCCAGCTTTTAGGTTAGCAGCCAAGTGCTTCTCTGTCTGTGCCACAGAGGACTTTGAATACATAGTAGGCCTTTTTTTTCCCCCTTTGGTTCTGCTTTTTCTGGTGTGTGAGAGACTATGGTAGTTGAAACTTTAAATAAGTAAAATGACTGGTCAAAAACTTAGAGGTAGATTAAGAGAACAACGTTTGTATTTCTTATTTTTACTTTCCTTGCCCTTTTCTCCAAGGTGAAAGAGACTTGGAAGCCTGAGACTGGTAGTCACCTGTGTTGAAGACAGATATCAAACTTATATTGAGCCCTGTTTTCAAGTCTTACTATTCATTGTTACTGTGTATTTTATGTTACATTTGCATTTAATGCATATTCTTTATTTTATAGGAGCAGTTAAATAATCAGAAAACGGAAGAAGCTATACAACAGTATGAGAAAATACGCAAAGGTCAGAAAACAACTTACCTTTTGTTCTAAAATGACTGACTCCAAATAGGTGGTTATAATAACAATTGGTTTAACATTTTCCTTTGAAAATTAAGGTAAAATGGGTGCAACATAAAATCTAACTTTATCAAGAGTGAAAAGCATGTTTCTAATGAGTAAGTTTATTCTTGGAAAAACAAAATGGTAAAAAAAAATTTAGTCAAAACACCATTGATTTCTTGGTAATGGCCAGTGTTGGTGAGAAAGAAGGTCAGTCATAGTCATATAGGTCACAATGAATGCAGTAGGTTTCTGCACAGAAGACATCATGTAAAGAATATGCCTCAGGTAAAAGATCTTTAAATATGTATTTATAAAAAACCATTTAATTCTGGTTTTCAAATTCTGGTGGTTGTAATATGCTTTCCATACTCAAATTGCATTGATTCTTCATTTGAAATATTATAAAAAGTACCTTTAAATATGGATATATACACATTTCTGTTTTTAAAACCATGAAGATTGCCCTCCTTCTCATCATTAACCCATTAACTTCTCAGTTGTGTGAATAATAGAGCTGGGATTTGAACCCAGATCTGCTTCACACTTAAGTCCTAGACTCTTTTCACTAATCCATGCTATTTCTACTTGATCAACAAAGAGAAGGGTAAGAGAACCAGATTATTATTTATTTATATGACATGGACATTTGTAGAGCTGACTTAGATGAATACTTAATCTTTAATAAATGGATGTGAGAATATATTTCTGTCTTCAGTCCTGTTTCCTCCTCTCTTTCCTTGTCCCTTGTCCCTAATATCTCTTATTTCCATAACCCTTTTAAATAATCTCGTTCCTTTGACTCCTTTGTCAGTGTTGACAAACGTGGGCAAATCTTAGCTATTCTGAAAAACTTTCCCTTGAACCAACATCCTCTATAACTTTTATCTTATCTTTCTTTTCTTGGCCAAGTCTTAGGAGGTGTGGCATAGGCCCATTGGGACTACTGTCATCTGACTTCCGTCTTCTCTGTCCTCTTGAAACTTGCTCTCAGGTCACTTGTTTGCTACTTGCATTTCTTTAAATCTATTAGCGTTTTGCATTCTCTGTTTTTCTTTTTATATTAACGTTATTTCCGCTCTCTTTCTTGTCTTTTCATTTTTTAAGTTCTATTTATTGTGTGTGAATGTATTTTTCCTAAACATAAAACTAGTACATGGTTTCCCATTCTGAAGCTTGGGTGAAATTGTACAGAGCAGATTTTTTTTGACGTTTGACAATTCATACACATTTTGTTTTATGACAGTGCTTACATTCTCTGCCATGTAACAGCTCACCTCCCACTTCCTCCCTGAGGTTGCCTTTTCCCTGGGTTCTTCTTGCCTATGCATTCCTGCCTCCCTACCTTTTTCCCTGTGCCAATGCTGCCCTTCTGATCTCCCATAGTTGATTGTTCTAAGGAGTACATCTCCCTGGTGTAAGTGTTCAACTCTTAGGACTGTCTCTTGGCTCCGAGTTAAGCCATGAGAGTGAGTTCAGTTCCAGGCCTGAAGGGTGACTCAGGGCCAATAGCCTCAGGGGTTTTGCCAGTCTCTATCAAACCAGTTAGCCTGGTCTTTTTTTTAAGATTTTGAGTTTTGTTCTACATTTTTTTACCACTCTGTACAGGATCTACAATTTTGATCCCTTTCTGAGTTGTTGGCATTAGTAGCCGGACACCTTGTAGTTCTTCTGGTCTCAGGGTCACATAGGTTGAGCTTCTCATGGTCCATTAGTCCTTTGGACTAACTGTTCACATGTCTTTGATTTTCTTCACTCTTCCCTGCTTCGGGTAGGAGAAACCAATAGTGCCAATGGCTGCTTACAAGCTGTTAAGACCCTCATGGCTACTCACCAAAGTAAGATGTAGAACAATGTTTTTGTTTTCCATATTGTGCCAAGTGAGCTTGATGTCCCCCATGACCATAGTCCCTAACTGGCAGGCCCAGCGACCCACTTCCTTAAGGTGCTTATTTGTGGCTAAGAAGTTATCTTAACTTGGTCTCCTGTTAGGTTTACATTGTATATGGACCTTTTTATTACACATACAAATACATATTTAAGAATATTGTCTGCCAGACCTGTGTATGGTCATGAGTATATTCCCATTTGGCTGTCCATATCTGATCTTCTTGCCTGTCATGTATCCACCCTAGATTAATGTTCACTATTGATAATGCAATATTGTATATGCAATAGCATTGCCTTTATTGTCTGTACATTTGTGCACCTCTGTGTCTTCCTTTTCGTTAGTGATATTGTGCTAATCATACATTTTTGTTATATAGCTTTTCTCTTCACCCATATCAACTCCTGTCTCTTAATTATCCATCTATTTTCCTTCCCTCCCATCCTTGGTGACCAACAAATACAATTTCCTTCCCTGTGTAAACATTTCCTTGATTCACTTATTTAACTCAGCGGAATGTCCTCCAAATTCATCCACATTATGAGGTGGTTTGATGATTCTTCATTATTCTTTAATGTTGCATAGTATTCTGTTGTGTGTATGTACCATAGTTTGTTTATCCATTCCTCTGTTGATGGGCACTTAGGTTGTTTCCATCTCTTTGCTATTGTAAATAGTGCTGTGATGAACATGGGTGTGCATGCATCTATTTGTGTGCTGGATCCTACCTCTTTAGGATATATTTCTAGTAGAGGGATTGCTGAATCAAATGCTATTTCTATTTCAAACTTTTTAAGGAAGTGCCATACCATTTTCCACAATGGTTGTATAACTGTATAGTCCCACTGGTAGTGTATGAGAGTCCCAATCTCTTCATACCTTCGCCAGCATTTGTTGTTTTCTGCCTTGTTGAACTTTGCTGTTATTGCTGGGATGAGATAATATCTTGTTTTGATATATAGCTCTCAAATGGCTGATGATCATTGGCGCTTCTTCGTGTGTTTGTTGGCTGTCTGAATATTTTTTTTGAAGTGTGTCTGCTCATGTCCTTTGCCCATTTGTGAAATGGATTGTTTATTATTTTAATTTTAATGAAGTCCAATTTATTTCTTGATTGCTTGTCCTTTAGATGCCATATCTAACAAATTCTTGCCTAATTCAAAGTCATCTATGTTTTCTTCAAAGAATTTTATCTTTCCTTGTCTATTTCTTGCACACAAGATTAAAATAGACTTATAAGTCATTACTGTGGTTATTTTCCAGAAACAATTTTGATAAGACTAGTAGCACTGTCATTCCTAAGGAGCTGGTTTTGAAATAAAAAACTTTGCTTTGAGAAATTTTCTAGAAAAATTAATTACTTTAGATTAAGAAAATATAAATCTGATTAGGAGAATAAGTATTTATTAGAACAGTTGAAAAATGTTGCAGAATCAAATATTGTAGACATTTTGCCAAGTAACATTTTTTTCTAAGTACAAAGACTCTTGTTTATTTATATTAATAATTATATTGAGAATTTTAAATACCCTTTGAAAGGATTTCCTTCCTCCCGCCTCATCCTCTCCCTCCCTCGCTTCATCCATCCATCTGTCCTGTCTTGCAGTCATCCAAACATCCATCTGTATATCAAAAATTTATTCAGTGCTTCATATAGACCAGTACTCTACCAGGCATTGAGGATACAGCAGTGAACAAAACAAAGTTTCTATGTGGCCACCATACTATATTGTAGTTAATAAAAATATATTTTAATTTCAGAACGCAAGAAAAAGTGGACATTGTGCTATTAATTTCCAAAATGTTCTCCCCACATTTTAGATTTAAATATTAAAGAGAAAATAATTGCAGAAATGCGAATGACCCTGGAAGAACAAGAAAAAACTCAAGTAGAACAAGATCAAGTACTTGAGGCTAAATTAGAGGAAATGGAAAGGTTGGCCACAGGTAAAACAAGAGTACTTAAATACACCAAAACATGCTATTTCATTTTTTTATTTTCTTAGGTTTTTTTTTTTTTTTCCTTTTTAAAAGAAGTATAGTATTCATAATAATTCATAATGGAAAAATTTTGGTATTTTTAGAATCTCTGTCACTTGTCATTTTCCACTGTGATGAAAATTGTTTAAGTAAAGTTGTACGTCGTAAAGAAAGATTCAGGACACTTTAATAATAACTGGATGAAAACTTGTAATTCTCTCTAGGAGGAGCGTTACAGCTGAGTTTCATTTCTGTCCAGCTATTAGCATCGTCTTATATGTTTATGTAATACTCTGATTCATTACCTTAAGAACACCATCAGAGTTTTTCTGGAAGATGGGGCAAAAATTAACACCTCCTTATTACTAATGGAAGGAGTTCAGGTGGCATAGTGGGTAAGACATTTGGCTGTTAACAGAAGTTTGGTAGTTCAAACCCACCAGCTACTCCACAGGAGGAGGATGAGGCAGTCTGCTTCCATAAAGACTTACAGTCTTGGAAAGCCACTGTGGGTCATTATGACTCAGAATCAACTCGATGGCAGTGGGTGTGGTTTTTTTGGTTTTACTAATAATAAAGCAATGTGTGATTTTTGTAAAAAGGGCTAGAAATTTAGAATTAGGAAATTGCCTTTGCCATTTAATGTAGGGCTTTGGCAGGAAACGTGTACTGTCTCAGATTAATTTTCTTGATCTATAAAATGTGGTTGTTGATGAAAATATCAGTATACTATTACACATTATTGTGGAGAAGATCAGATGAAATGATAAATTTTAGAGCACTTTGCAAATCTTAGTATTTTGTGGAAGAAATGATAATGATGTTAGGTGCATGCCACTTCATACTTTAGCCACTTTTGTGGATGGAGCATCACTTTTTGTTTGCTTGGTTTTTTGAGAACTGTAAATTTTTCAGTGTAATTAATGTTGACATAAATTTATACTGTATCTTCTGAAAAGTATTCAGCAAAGGCTTGAGAGGTTCTTGCAGTTTCTCTTCACTAAGATTTTAGTAAGAACTTTAAAAAGTTGTAGCTGTTGGAATAGTCTGTTTTATCTTGGTTTATGTACCTCTTTTTCTAAGCTAGGCTGATTCTTGTCTGTAGTCCATGTTATATATATTTCTATATGATGACTTTTATATGTGCTTTATAATTTATATTTTCAAATCAGAATTGGAAGAATGGAAGGATAAATTCAAAGATCTGGAAACCAAAAGTATTCAAAGTTCAAATAAAGAATTTGAGGATAACATAGATGTACTTAGTAAAAATCTCAGTAAGCTTCAAGATGAGTTACAGGTATGATTATATACATATATTCATTATATTTCTAATAAAAGGAAAATTCAGAAAGTTTTTATAATGAATTAGAAATGGCTAAAGCAATATCTGGGGAATGTTGAAATATAGATAAAATTTTTTAGTACACATTGAAATGACATGGAGAAAAAAATTCCTTATATGTCCCAAAGGTGATGCAGTGAATGAGCCCTCAGTTTTATATTTTATATATATTCAGTTCTTAAATCACCATTTCTTACGTATTTGTACTTTTTTCCTACTCCTTAAACAGCTTACTTGTCATATACAGCTATGCAGAAGACTACCAGGAGAATTATTTTGATTACTATATGTAATCTTTTTGAAGTTAAATTATTAAATTAGAAAATAATACAGTTGTATATCTAAAATGCATATGAAGCCATACTGTATGAAATATACTCTGTGTTTTTTGTTTATATTTTTTTTCCATGGTTCACCAATAACATACCATGTATAGAATGCAATACATGGGGAAATACTTTTTCATGTTATATCTCCTAATAAGGAGCTCTGGTGGTACAGCGGGTAAGGCACTTGACTGCTAACTGGAAGGTCATTTGTTCAAACCCACCAGCTGCTCTATGGAATAAGACTGGGTGATCTACTTCTGTAGAGATATACTGCCTTAGAAACCCAGTGGGGGTCGCTATGAGTTGGAATCAACTCGATGGCAGTGAGTTTTGTTTGTTTTTTGGATCTCATAATACTATTTAAAATTGTGTACGTTTTATTAGAAGTTACATACATAACTATAGTTTTAGGATCAAAGGAAACAATAATGGCTTTGAAAATTTAACTGCATCTAATGTATTTTCTTAAGTTCAGTCTGTATATAATCAGATACAGAAAATACAAAAAAATTAGTTATTATCCTTTGTAACTGTTTATTATATATTCTAGAATTTACCCTTTCTATTGTAAAAATCCAAAAGTGGCTAGAACAAAGTAACTGCTCCATTAATCATAAAAAAATAAAATGTATTAACCATTTAAGGATATTCATAAGATGAAGTATTGGTGTGCTCTTTGCTATTATTTTAAGGTGATGTAACCACACACCTTTGATTATAATCTTATAAATTTTGTAATCTTGGAAGAGACTGCCACAGTTCATTGAGTGCAGTGATTTAGAAGTGTTTAAAACAATGGGATATATTTTTTTTTAAGGTAATTTAAAAAATTTTTTTCAAATAAAGTTTTACTTGGATTTTGAATATATAAATTAGATACCTCTGAACCCAAAGGCTCTATGGAACCTATTTTAATATCACTGACCAACTATAATGTTAGTCCATCTCTTTGCAGTATAATATATCTTAAATGAATTAAGTATTTGTCTTATTGAAGAAATTATTTCTTATTTGGCATCAAGTATATACAGGAGTATTTTATTTTCGGAATTATACAATTAAAAAGGATAATCACAAACCAAGTCTTTTTTTCTCCCTGACATTTAAGAACATGTGGGTTATAACTCTTTGAGAAATTTAAATAGTTTATTTATTAATCTCATGATGAAGGAAAGTCCTTAAATGGACTTCACAGCCAAACTCAATCTATAAAGATAACACTGTTTAGAGACCAAACCATGTAATGTTTCTGTTTTGGAAGCTGAGATAAACTCTGATCATTATTTTTAAAAAAACAAACGTATTTTTAAGTTTTAAAAAAAGTAAAATGTAATGAATGGCTTATATGGAAATATTTGGAAAATAGATTAATTTTTTAGGTATGTGATAGTAACTTGTTCCATTTATACATAATAGGAATCCGAACAGAAATATCAAGCTGACAGGAAAAAATGGTTAGAAGAAAAAAATATGCTGATCACTCAAGCAAAAGAAGCTGAGAACCTACGAAACAAAGAGATGAAAAAATATGCTGAAGACAGAGAACGCTGTTTAAAGCAACATAATGAAGTGGTTGGTAACAATTACACTAGATCTTTAATGTATCTAACCTGCTTTTAGGAGCTCTGGTAGCATAGTGGCTAAGACACTTGCCTGCTAACCAGACGGCTGGCGGTTCAAACCCACCAGCCACTCCTCGGAAGGAAGGTTGGGCAATCCTACTTCCGTAGTGATACTGCCTCGGAAACCCAAGGAGGGGTCGCTATGAGTCGGGGCCGACTCGACGGCACATAACAACAACAACAACAACCTGCTTTTGTTTGTTAAATTTTTCTCTAGGATTTTTGCTACCCTCAACTTGGTTGTCTGTGGTTTATGTTTGTTTTTTAAAGGCAGATTGTCTGTTGTAAGGTGATTTTTCTGTCCCAATTAATTTTTTATTTTTATCTCCCAGTTCTATTAGTTTTTTTTTTTTTTTTTTTTTTAATGAACAGCTTTTACAAGTACAGTTCAGTGATAACTGATTTTTTTCATCATATTGTAACACCATTACCACTATACTTTTCCAAATTATTTTCCTGTTGTTAACAGAAACTTAGTGCCTCTTCAGGAATTACTCCCTTTTGTCTTTGTCACCTACCCCTGGTAACCACTAATAATAAGCTGTAGTCTCTATACATTTGCCTGTTTCATATAAATGGGATCATAGAATGTTTGTTCTTCTGTGACTGATGTATCTCAACTCACATAATGTTTTCAAATTTCATCCATGTTATAGCATGCATTAGGACTTAATTTCTTTTTATGGCTGAGTAATATAGTCCATTGTATTAGTCTACATTTTGTTTATCCATTTATCTGTTGATGAACATTTAGGTTGTTTCCATGTTTTGGCTATTGTGAATAGTGCTACAGTGAACAGTGGTGTATGAGCTTCTGTTTGGGTTCTTGCTGTCAGTTCTTTTGGGTATAAACCTAGATCGAATTCCAGTTTATCTTGAAATTTACTCATGTTCCGCTTTTGACTTTTAAGACCATTTAGCAAGTTAAGGAAATACCTAATTGCTTTTTAATATCTAGGTAGAGGTCTTATAAATATCTTCCTTTTTTTTTTTTTTTTCCTTTAAATTGTGATTTGGGTAAAGTGTATAGAGCAAATTCACTTTCCGTACAGCAGCTCACATACACTTTGTCTCATGATATTGACTACAATATACCCCAATGCAACTGTTCCCCTCCCACTTCTTCCCCATAGTTACCCCCTCCCTGTGTCTTTCCCTCCATCCATTCCTGCCCCCTGAGCTATGTCCCTATGCATACCCAGCCCTTCATTCTCCCATGATTCCATGGGAATGATTGCATGAGGAGTGTATCTACCTAGTATAAATGTTCACCTCATGTTCTGGTTACTTTGTGCCACTGACAAGAATATATACCACAAATGGGATGACTTTAACAAACAGGAGTTTAGTCTTACAATTTGGAAGCTTTAAGTCTGAGTTCAAAGTGCCAGGCTCTATGGGCTGAGTGAAAGCCCCTCAGTTTCAGCTCTGCCTCCTGCTCCTGGCCCACTGGAGCTAGAGGCATCTCTTCACTCAGACAGCTGCTGGCTGCTGAGGCTGACAAGCCCAAGGTTGACAAGTAAAAAGGCACAGTCCGGATGTTACCAAACCACACAGCAGGCCATTAATTCAAGTCCATTATAAGTCCCAAGGTCAGAAGAACATGGCAGGCTGCTGAATAATGACACAGCTACATGCAGGCTTTAAGCGTGCCATAAGCTAGAGACCATTCCCAAAGCTGCTGCTTACATACGGGAAGCAGACCACATATCCAAAGGCAGCTACTCAGCTGCTCACAGTAGATTACACCATGGAGTTGATTACCAGTCTCATCATGGGGAATACTACATCCAGCTGCCCCGCCACTCAACCAAGGCCAGCCAAGTTGACACAAACTTAACTACCACACCTCATATGCCTGTTTTTTGTTTGGCTGGAAGCCACAGGTGTAGTTTCACTTCAAGACCTGAAGGGCAGCTAGGGGCCACAGTCTCAGTGGTTCCAGGGCAGCTAGGGGCCACAGTCTCAGTGGTTCCATCAGGCTCCATCAGACCAGCAAACCTGGTCCTTTCTTTTTTTTTCCAAATGATTTTGAATTTTGTTCCATATTGTTCTCCCACTCTAGCCAGTAGATGTCTTCCTTTTGACTGCCACAGGTTTTTTACTACAACATTTTAAAACTTCCTGCACTTTGAATTAGTCTAACAGTGTGTATATTTTATCTCATAAGCAGATATGCAGTAGTTCTTTTTTTTTTTTTTTTTAAGTGAACTGAATAGTTTCCAGAAACTCTATTGGTAGAAATTGCTGAACTTGATTCATTAAAAGTAGTGACCAATAAGTTGGTTTTTGGAATGGAGTGAAAGAGGGATAAAACAGAATGTGACCATTTAATATATATATAAATACATTGTATATTTTATTTTATGTAAGTAAATATTTTATATAGAGTGGACTATGCAGTTTGTTATATGCTTTGTTTGCATTTGTGTTCATGGTATTATTTATAATAAAGTTACCTAAGCATTCTTACTTTCATAATGTTCCAAAGTTTACTTTAACATTTTCTCTGTTTCCTGTTTAGGAGAAACTCACAGCACAGTTGGCAGAGAAAGACAATGACCTTCAAAAGTGGCGAGAAGAAAGAGATCAGCTGGTTGCAGCTTTAGAAATACAGCTGAGAACACTGATCTCTAGTAATGTACAGAAAGATAATGAAATTGAGCAATTAAAAAAGGTCACAGCAGAAGCTTCTAAAATGGTCAGTAGAATCTTGTTCTTTCTGTTTCTTTTTTATTGGACATAGACATTTTTCAAAATGACTTAATTGATCAACTCCAAAAAGATAAAAAAAAATGTTTCAATAGACTGGAGGTGAGACAGAGTTTTTTAAATTATTTGAATATTTAGTGACTAAGGCATTTGCCTGCTAACCAGAAGGCTGGTGGTTCAAACCCACCAGCCACTCCTTGGAAGGAAGGTTGGGCAATCTACTTCCATAGTGATGCTGCCTTAGACACCCAAGGAGGGGTCACTATGAGTTGGATCCGGCAGTGAGTTTGGCTTTTTTGGTTTTACCATGAATTATTTTGAGTTTCTTTAAAGAGTGGAGATGTGGTTTAACATTAATATTGACAATAATGGGTAGGTGACATAAGATGTGTAGTTAACTTTTGGATTTTGGTTGCTTGGAATTTATCAAGTTTAAAACTGTAGCCTGAAATTTCTTTATAGAATACTTAGATAGGGTGTAGGAACAGAACACTATAACTGAGAGTGCGTGCGATATGAAGGAAAGAGACAGCAAGATAAGATACTCCAGTGGTAAAATTGCATTCCCAAGAGGCGTCTATTTTCCCAAATTGTTTTATCAAATGCAATTGTTGTGTTTTAAATTCCAACTCAATACAGATGTTGGCCATGTTGTTTAAATTCTATTGGTCTGTATTTTCTCATCTAGGAAGTGGTAGTAATGATTTTGACAAATACTAACTCAGAGTTATGATGAAAGAATTTGTGTTAAATACTTTAGAAATTGAAAATACTCTTTCAGATTCCTGCTTAGGAATTTGTCTGAGTCTCTAAAGAGGAAAGAGAGGAGGAGGAGAGTTAGGTGGTCATTCAAGAAGTCTTTATTTTCACTGGTTAGTTCATGAAATTTTGATTTTTATACTTATGCATAAAGTGAATGCTCTGGTAGCATAGTGCCTAAGGCATTTGACTGCTAACCAGAAGGCTGGTGGGTTCAAACCCACCAGCCACTCCTTGGAAGGAAGGTTGAACAATCTACTTGCGTCATGATACTGGCTCAGAAACCCAAGGAGGGATCGCTATGAGTCGGATCCGACTCTGCAGCTGTGCGTTTGGTTTCATTATAAAGTATCTTGATATATTTTCAAGTTACAATGACTTTCTGCTTTAATATTACCTTATTTTAGGAAAAACCAAGTGTGGAAATAATGCCCAGACATACTAGTTCAATGGATCCTGGTGGGGTTGAAACAGAAACTCAATCAACAAGTTTTGAAATTTTCACAAATGAAGTTGAGGTGGGTATTTGGTAACGGTTCACTTTCGTGCTAGTCAGTTTTTGTAGGGTGCTTTCTGTAGTTTGCTAAATGTGTTTTTGGCTTTGTGAAGGCAAATTCTTTCTGTTGCTGTGGCAAATTTGACCCAGCATATTTTATCTTTCTCATTTCGTGGTCTTCAGTAAGCATTTAAGGGAGTTAAATCTTTGTCATTTATAAATTCATATTCCACAAGTAAGATTCTTTCCCTTTCTATTTCTGTTTTAGGGTGGATCTGTAGTCCTTGACTCCTGTGAAGTGTCAACCGAAAATGTTCAAATTACCCGGTTTCCAAAACCTGAGTTAGAGATTCAGTTTACACCTTTGCAGCCAAACAGAGTGGCAGTTAAACACCCTGGTTGCGCTTCCCCTGTGACGGTTAAGATTTCTAAGCCCAGGAAGAGGAAGAGTAATGACACGGAGGAGGTAAACGTTCAACTGATGAGGAAATATGACAAGCAAATCTTATTATTATTTATCTGAGTCATAGTATGTAATAGTTCATCTCTACTGTGCTGCTCTCCTATTTGTAACTACTTCTGTTAGAGACAAAAATCATAATTATGTTATATTTTATATCCTTTAAGAATATCACCCCGGTTTAATAGTCCTCAAACACAAAGCTTGTGGATATTAAAATAAGTAGGTCATCCCTTGTTTCAGTATATCAAATAATGGTGACTTGTACTAGAGTTATTTGAATACACTACTCCTGTTCAAACCTAGTCACTTTTTCTCCTTTGGAAGATGCACTATTGGTAACTGCACTACTAAAGGGGCAAGATGGCAAATCTCACCTTTATCACTAACTGTGTGGCAAGAAACAGCATAGATCCAATTTATAGACCCAGGCTTAACCTGTCTACATCTCCATTCCTCTTTGCCAGCCACTTCTTCTATGGCACTTCTTCTCTTATCCTAACCTCCCAGAGTTACATCAGTCTCTTATCCCCAGCCACCCAGAGCCACAGCCAGAGCCAAATAATTGGGTACCAGCCATAGGCTCAGGAGTCTGTACCTTAGACTGCTGCGCTCGTTCGTGCTCTCTCTCTATCTCTTTCTTTCTCCCTCTCCTCTCTCCCCTCCCTCCCTCCCTCTCTGTAGCCCCTTGGGCTAGGTCATAAGCTAGAAGTACTGTCTTTTGTTAAGTGCCCATGCAGCCTTTCTCTGTCACCTAGTTACCAGAACTAGGTCTTCACAAATCAATTTCCTTCGTAGCCTTTCTGTGACTCAGCCATCCTGATCTAAATCAGAGTCCATTGCCTCTTGTGGGATTGTTAATTCATGAAGACATTTACCTATACTTTGCACAGTATAGGTAAGGAGCTTTGGTTGTGTAGTGGTTAAGGCATTTGGCTGTTATCAAAAGGTCTGTGGTTTGAACCCACCAGCTGCTCTGCAGGAGGAGTCAGTCTACTTCAGTAAAGATATACAGTTTTGGTAACCCAATGGGGGTCGCTGTGAGTTGGAATTGACTCAGTGGCAGTGATAAGTATAGATAATATAACCAAAAAGCAAATTTCACACCTATTAAGTTGATTCCAACTCGAGCAACCACTGTTGGTTTCCAAGGCTGTAAATCTTTATGAAAACAGACTGCCTCATCTTCCTCTTGCAGAGTGGCTGGTGGGTTTGAACTGCTGACCTTCTGGTTAGCAGCCAAATGCCTTGTATACTGAGCCACCAGAACTCCTTAACTATTTTTGTAGTTATCCATTTATTATAGCCAGAAAGGATACAAGTGAAGAGATGCGCCAGGCAAAGGCAAAAGAGTTCCTGGCACTGAGCCCCATTGTCCCCAGGGTCAGGCCACACTTTCTGCCGTGCATGGATATTCTCACCAATCTAGGAAGCCCCAAAAGGGGAAGGTCCAGAGTCTCATAGTTACTGGGGCCCGATACACATGATGATTAATGAATATGCCTAGGTGACTGCAGCATGCCCCTTTTCTTTCCCGAGGCCTTTGCCAGGGTCGGACCTGTGTAGCTCTTACTCAAATATGACTATTGCCTGGCTGTTTTATAAAACAAAGGCCCCTTGGTTGTTGGGAAATTCCAAGGGTTTTTTTCTCAGACCAGAGGCCAAACCAAGTTCTTTGTCCCACAAAAGGTCAAAAGGGTTGTTATAGAAATTAGAGAAACTGATACAGCTAATTTGGTTGAGTATAATCTTTACCATTTAACTAAAATCATAAATCCTTGTGGTTATAGGAAGTTTTGGAAAAGACATTCTTTTCCATCAGCTTATATTAAAATCTGGATCTATGTCATCTCACTGCCATCGAGTCGATTTCGACTCATAGCGACCCCTCCTTGGGTTTCTGAGGTGGTATCACTACGGAAGTAGATTGCCCAACCTTCCTTCCGAGGAGTGGCTGGTGGGTTTGACCCGCCAGCCCTCTGGTTAGCAGTCAGATACCTTAGGCACTATGCCTCAGAGCTCCTTGGGTCTCCCTGTAGTGGTCGGCTAAAAACCATTTACTCACATCTTCTTACCGCCGCTTTCTGGTTGTAGTGCTGCCAGACATTCTACTGTATCCTAAGCATACAGGTCCAGGTCACATAAGCTTTCTGATCCTCTGTTTTCTTCTGTTTAAAACAATGAATTAGAGATGATGTGTGTAAAATGCCAGTCTTCTGCTCTGCACTTGATTGCACATAATAAAAATGATAATAGTTATTTCTGAAGTACCTTGTTTTAAATTTAATAATAATAATAATAAACTCTTTAGCAAAATAACTTTCTTCCAACTTTTTTTCACTCCTTCAAAGAGTAATATATTTTCAAGCTGGTGGAAGAGCAGAAATAGTATTAACCATACTCCTGAGGCTATCCATCAGGTAATAAGTTTATTCAATGAATTAGCAGTTTTCCTACTATACATGGAATTACTTTAGAAATTGTTTCATAGAGCCTTAGTTAACTTTTATTCTATATTTATTTTGTTTATACCTAATATATATACTGTTAAAACACTAATTTCATCATCAATATTAAAGTTGACTTCCTTGATCTCATTTTTTAAGGAAAAAGGAAAAAAATATATACAGTACTCATGAGGGTTGAAATAAAAAGATAGGTTTTTTTTCTTTTCATTTTACTGTTGACATGTAGGCTTATGTGCTTTTCAGAAAAGATTTACAGATTATTGATAAAGTGTATAGAAAATTTTAAATTTTGACTGTTTTTGCTAAATCTTCACTGCCATATATTGAGCAGAAATGGCAGAATCTGGTTGAAATTAAGTGAAGAGTTTTATTGAGAGGCAAGGCAATATGCAAATTGAGAGTCATAAGGTCTAGAGGATTCTGAGCTAAATGATCCGGGATGAGATAGTTCAGGGAATTTTTATAAGAAAATACAAGGAACATCAATAAAAAATTAGTGATTGGTTGACATTTGGATAAAGGTTACAAAATTGGGTGAGGGTACATCTGATTGGTAAGTGATTACATATGTGTCTCCCATCCAATTACTAACCAGGCCCAACCTTCATTAGCTTTTGAGATCAGACAAGATTGGTTATGTTCAGGGTGGTACAGCATAAAGAAAGTTCCTAAAATTGGGTTTTTGAAAGTTACAAAGTAATCATTAAATTGGGTACACTTGGTCTTGAAACAATCATGAGACCGTTCTTTCCTGACTGTAGAGAGGGCATGCATAATTCTAAGGTTTGGAATTTAGGTGCTTACTTGAGTAAGCATCTGTTTTAAGAATTGTTTTACACCTGGTTTCCTGAGCAGGGTATATTCTTACACAAGCAAAATCACATTCTTCTCTAAAATTGTTTACCAAGTAATTTTCTTAGGATACAGTGGAACAGGCTGCATTCTTGATGCAAAAGTTACTTTTGAGTCAAAATGGAATTTTGGCCTCAGACCATCTCATGTCAGGAGCCCTAAGTTAATTTCAAGTGCTCATATTCATGTGCTAAATTGAATATACGGAAGTCCTAATTATGAAAATTAAGTATGTAGGGCTATATTCTTATTCAATGAGGACTCCGTAGAGCTCTTTACTGAATGTTCCAAGTCTGTTGTCCTAGCCTCTTAGCTTTGTCTTTTTTCCTTTCCCGCAGTATCATTCTTATGGTCCCTGTGAATTCTACTTTGTTGTTTAGATTCTGAGATTCTGCTTCTCTCTCTCTCTTTTTTTTTTTTTTCCTTTTATGCTTATAAACTTTGGTAAAAGATTTGCTGTTAGGATTTGCACTAGGTCAATTCAGTGCCTCTTACCTACAAAAGGCATAGTCTTGTGTGAGGTACTGTGGGGCAAAAGACCAGTAGGATGCCAGCCTATGTGGTATGGAAGAAAGATTATAATGTTTCTTAATTTTTGCATTTCAGCTGTACTTGAGTTTTTTTTCTTTTTGTTTTATTATACTCTGTTTTGTTTTTGATGTCACCAGATTTTAATTAGTGGTCTTAGACATAGATGCTCTGTATGATTTAGAATTTGGGGAAAGGGTAGGTGTAGTGTTATATTGCATTTTAAAGGTACATTGCTATCTTTTTAAAAGATGGGTTTCAAATAAAAGACGTTATCCTTTCTACTGTTTTCCACTTATTTAGATAACGTAATTTTATTATATGTGATACGTGAGAAATATTGCTAATTTTGGTAAGTTTCCTAACCTCAGACTTGACATCTTGGGCCCTAAAACTCTTTGTGTTGGAAGGCTGTCTTGTGCATTGTAGGGCTATTAACAGCATCCCTATCCTATACCCATAGTTGCAAATACCACTCTCTTACTCCCTACCCCACCCTCAAGTTATGCCAACCAAACATGTCTTCAAACATTTGTTCCCTAGGATCAACCACTGCTGATTGAGAACCACTATTTTAAGTCATAGTAGAGTAGAGCCTCACAGAATTTTTTTTTTTTTTTAGGACTTGGTGAAGTGTGAAAATAAGAAGAACACTACACCTAGAACTAATTTGAAGTTCCCTATTTCAGAACATAGAAATTCTTCTGTCAAAAAGGAACAAAAGGTTAGTTAGTCTTTTTCTTTGTCCCAAATAGACCATTTTTATAACTTACATTTATAAAGTAAAGAATGCAAACAAAGATGTCAAGTTCAGACCTGGTGGCTTGAATAGACCAGCTGATCCATGGGGGAAAGAGAAGGCAACCTGCTTCTGTGAAGATTTACACCTTGGAAACCCTGTGAGGCAGCTCTACTCAGTCCTGTAGGGCCACTCTGAGTTAGAATCGACTTGACAACAGTGGTTTGAGTTACCCAGAAATCCAGTTTTGTCCAATTATAGCTCATTCACCATCCATTTCGTGTATATATAATTTGTTTCAGAATATAACCTTTAATGGCACTTTTTCTTGTGTTAACTTCTGACTTAACACTCTGCCTGTCACACTCATTCTGCCATTCTCTGGCCCTTTCATCCTTCTGATACTCCAAATTCCATGTCTGACTCTGGCTTTTTAAATTCTACTTCTTAATGATAGACTATTGTAGATAAAATATATAGAAACTTTAAAAGTTTGACTGTTTTTGCTAAATTTTCTAAGGGTAGCTGATTTCCTTCTAATAATTTCTTATCAACAATAACAACAACAACAACAAAAATTTGTTTTATTAGGTTTCTATACGTCCATCATCTAAGAAAACGTATTCTTTACGGAGTCAGGCATCCACAGTTAGTGTACATTTGACCACTAAGAAAAAAGAAGGAACACTACAGAAGTTCGGAGACTTCTTACAACAATCTCCAACAATTCTTCAATCGAAAGGTTTGCATAGAATTAATTAAACACTCTTTTATGTTATGTGCAGGGTGTTTTCTAATATTTGATTGGTATATAAATTGAACAACAGTTTAATAATAGAGAATTATACTACTTATGCTAGGTTGTATGGGAGGAAACAGATGAAACAATGTTATTATACATAGGTGTTCACTATAAGCAAGTGCTAAGGTAGCAGTGGAGGGAGAAATGCTATTCTGATTAGTTGGCTTAGGGAAGATTTTTTGCAGGAGATGGGATTTAACCTGGGCATTGAAAGCATGGCATGATTGTAACAGTTAGGAAGAATGGTGTTCCAGGCAGCTTTCTGTCCCAAATAACTACACCCTCTAGAGGTATTCTTTAGTTAGTAAAATAGTATATATGTTTCTCATGTTTTTAAAATCTGTCCAAAACATATTTCTATACATATCTTTTGAGTTTAGTTGCAAAAATGATAAGGTTGGTGCTTTTTTTACTTTAAAATATGAAGTAGACATAAATACATGTGTGTGCATATATATATTTATATACACATACATTTGTGTGTGTACATGCACATCTACTAAGGTAACTGTTCTAACACAGGTATAGTACCAAGAAAGGGTAGAGAATGTTTATGCAAATCTGAGTAGCAGTATGCATGTGGCATATAGAATGTGCAGAGACTTTACTGGGGCTAGAGATGATCCGAACGGCAGCAGTGGGATGGAGATGAGAGGTAAGAAGAATGGGGAGGGAAAGGAAGACAGATTAATTAAGTCAAATGTGTAAAAATACTTCCTGTGAAAATTTACCATTGTTTCCTAGATTTTCTTGATTTATAATATCCTTAACGTTTTAGCATTTTTATTATTATGTCCCTGGGCCAAAAGAAACACCTGATAGTACCATGATTAAGTTCTTAAGGCCAAATAATCATTGAAAATTCAGTTTATGAAAACTCAGGTTACAAAGTTCTCATAATCAAAAGGAATATAATATCATTTCATTTTGAAACTATATACTACTTTGAGCTATTGAGTCCCTCTGCTTTCCTTGGAAATTTAAAATATCACAAGGTGTTCTTGTGAGTTTAGTGTGTCATACCTCAGTATACAGTTTGGAACTTCAGACTTACTAAACCTATTTGTGTATTTTTTCAAAATATATATACTTTAATATATGTATGTATGTATATTTATATATATACACACACACACGTATATATATGTAGTTTATATAAGCATAGAAAATATATGGAAGGGCAAACAGCAAACTGTTAAGTATCTAAATTTAAAGATCAGGGACTTTTATATTCCTCTGTACTTTATGTAAGTTATATTGACTACCACTTACATATACCCACTCCACTTATTGATGTGGTTAGGTTCTAAAGATCAGCTCATCATACAAAAATTGGCATTACGTGAAAATAGTGGATGACAGCATCATTACATAACTACCAGGTTACATCATTACATAACTTCCAAGCCAATGAGAATCCATGGCCCACCCCAGTTGACCCATAACCATCACAGCCAGTGTTACTCTTGCCTTGCACCTCAATATTCATTACTGTCAGCTGTACATCATTAATGTGTGAATCAGTCAAAATAGATATGTTACTGTTATAAATATTGGATAATAAGATACATAGTTTATACAAGCATAGGAGATAAGTGAGGGGTAGATATATTAAAAAGAATTATGTTTTCAAGGAGATGGTGATATCAGTAAGATGTTTAATTACCCTACTTGAGTGACACAGTTTCTTTACAGCTTCCCTACTTATACAAGTGGCATGGATTTTTTTTTTTCTTAAATATTTCTAAGAATATAAGATATCCCTTTTTTAATTTTAGGAGTACTTGGACTATACCTACAGAATATATCTGTTGCAAATCATTTGGAAATATAAGGAAAAAAGAAAACGGAGATTAGGGATTAATTTTTACATCAAAGTCTGCTTCTCTGATAAGCATTGCTAATACATTGTTCAGTATCATTGGTTTCCCAGCTTTCCACTATCGCCTCCCCTTCAGTGCATGGCGGCCAGAGTGATCATTTCAGATGCAGATCATATTATAACCTGATTTCTGACTCTCGCCAGCCTTATCTCCTGTTCTGTGGTTGATAGCTAGGCAGTTTCAGTCCTACTAGGTTTTGTCTGTTCCTAGAATATACCGATTTCTTGCTTTGAGGTCATTGTACTTGTGCTTTCTTTTAACTGAAACTCACCCTGAGTTTTCACATGGCTGCTCCCCTCTTAGTCTTGGCTTTCACCATAGATGCTGCTTTATCAGAGATGCCTTCCCCTACCACCCTCTCACTAACTCTCATTCCAGCCACTTACATTTTATTACTCTATCCTGTGATATATTTGTTGTTAGCACTTATGCAAACTCTAATTATTGTTATTGTTTATCTTTCCTGATAGAATATAAGCTCTGCAAGGGCAGTTTGTCTCTCTCATTCATATCCTTTGCTATTAGCATGGTGGTTGGTATATAGAGACTCAATTTAGCATATTTCTTTAAAATATTTTTCTCTATTTTTAAAAAATACTGTATATAGATAGATTGATTGATTTTCTCTTCAGGAATTTTCCCAAATGGAAGTATGTTCTCTATTTAAGGCACTATATGTTCATTTAAAAAAATGTGCAAAATAGGAAATTTAAAACATTTTATGCCACTTCCCACAGGCAATCATCTGTTAAGAGTTTGGTTTCTATTCCTTTGTGTGTGTGTGTGTGTGTGTGTGTGTGTGAGAAATATAAGTAAAGGTTCACAGTATGCAAGCTGCTTTCATTGTGGCCATCTTTACATATCAGTCCTTAACTAAATCTATCCCTTATTATTATTAATGCTGCTTGGTATACTATGTATGTATCTTGTTTAACATAGCATAAACCTCTTCCAAGTCATTAAAAACTCCTGTTACTGGTTATCCTATAGTTTGCCTAATTTTTTGACTATGTTGGGAGCTCTGGTGGCATAGTACCTAAGGCATTTTACTGTTAACCAGAAGGCTGGCGGTTCAAACCCACCAACCGCTCCTCTGAAGGAAGGTTGGACAATCTACTTCTGTAATGATACTGTCTTGGAAGCCCAAGCAGAGGTCTCTATGAGTTGGATCCGACTTGACAGTAGTGAGTTTGGTTTGATTTGGTTATGCATGTCCTTTGACCATTTATACATTGTAGAGATTTTAATACTTTATGTATGTTCTTTCTTTTTCAAAGATTTCAAACTTTAGCAGCAAGAAAATTATTTTTTATTTCAGAAATTAATTAACAAACATTTTCCATAGCAAAGAAGCTAATTGAAACAATAAGTACTTCAAAGCCAGTAAATATGGACACAAGCAAAGAAAATGCATCTCGACCAAAACGGGCCAAACGGAAATTATACACAAATGAAATTTCATCTCCTATAGATATATCTGGCCATGTGGTAAGCTAGTGTTTCATTTTTTATAAATATAAAACTGTTCGTGTTCTTTGTAATCCTGAAAAGTTCATTATAATTTTAATTTCATAATGGTTTGAATTTCTACTCTTTAGATTAGATCTCTTAAAGCAAATGCTTTAAATGTATACTTTTGGTCTCAGGTGTGTTAAATCTATAGTCATTAAGTAGAAATATTGCATTAATGTGTAAAAGTGTTATATCATTTACATTTGAAAACTAATCAGATAAATTTTAATTCCATACATAGGATTAATCACTCTTTACATGTAACATCTATTTTTCTTGTTATCTTTTATCACAAGAGTTATATATGTCTTTCCTAAAAGGTACCTAGTAAAAAATACAGAATCGACATTTAGTCATTTTTTCCCACCTGCCCACTAATTCTTCAAGGTTCTGTTAAGAAAAACGGTTGCTGTCACCCTGACTCTGTCTCATTCCCATTCACACCAGGCTGTGCTATTACCAGGAAAGTTTAAATTTTCTATCACGTTTACATTTGCTTAGTATTTAAAAGATAGAAAAATAATGAAAGGAAAAACCTTCAAAAAGAAGGGTAGGGTAGGGAGGTGAGGAGACTTGGTTAGGGTTGGACATGGTGAATGGGAAATGAAACTAAATGTATGCATGATGTTGAATGTAAAACAAGCTCTTAAAATAAAAATTAAAAAAAAAAAAAAGAAGTGGCCAAGAAAAATCAGGAGAGACCTTTTGCAATAGTAGCTATTAGACACTTGAAGGTGGGTGGTAAAGAATTAGGGTCAGTTAGGAAGTTTTCTCATATAAATGTTCAGTTGGTCAATTTCCACTGTCTATCTGATGGGTACATAATTTTTTCCCTTGGCTGAGTATTAGTACCTTTCTAAGTTGGAGTATAATGTACTCTCCTCTCTATCTTCTAAGTTTCAAACTCAGTGAAACATCATTTTAAAAAAATTATTTAAAGCATTTGTTTCAAGTATTTCTTTTTTAAGAGTTTGTTTTACATTCAACATTACGTGTACATTTAGTTTCACTCCCCATTTGCCATGTCCAATCCCAACCCAGTCTCCTCCCCTCCCTGCCCAGTAACCCTCCCCCTGTGCCCCTCATACTTATGCACTCCTGTTTGTCCTGCATTTCCTCCGTGTGAATGTTGCCACTCTGGTGCCCCATGGTCTATTGCTCTAGGGGATGTATTTTCATAGAGTATGTGGGTGCATCACCCTGGGTTGAGTGGTCTGCATGTACATCTTGTTAACTATTGTGCTGAGAGCCAACCCCTGGGAGTGAGTTTTAGTTCAGGTGCAGAATGTATTCCAGGGCCATAATATTAGGGGTCTCACCAGACTCTATCTGACCAGTAATTCTTGGCATTATTGAGTTTTTGGATTTTGTTCCACGTTTTTCCTCCCACTCTATCCAGGATCTCCAGATTTGATCCTTTCCTGAGTGGTTGGCATTGGTAGCCGGGCAACATCTACTTCTTCTGGTCTTGAGGGCCATCGTGTCCTACAGCTGATTACCCTTGTTTTTTTGCACTCTTCTTTGCTTCCGACACTAGGAGACCATTAGCTGCATCTTAGATGGCCACTTGAAAGCTTTTAAGGCCCCAGTCGCTACTCACCAATGAAGGATGTAGAGCAATGCTTTTATGTATTTTGTTGTGCCAATTGAGTTTGGTGTCCCCCAGTACTATGGTTGTGAGATGGTAGATCTATTGGATCTCTCTCCCATAGTGTCTTGTCTTCTTTTGTTTCTGTAAGGATTGCAGGTATTTTGTATTCCTGGTATCTGCAAGATTAACCTGTTCTGAATCTATTCTTGGTCTAGAGTATACTCCTGTTCACTGACCCCTAGCTAATCCTCTCAGGTGTTTTTATGTGTTTATCTGTAGCCTGGTGTTTGGTGTTAATGGTAAGGCAGTATTATGGGCCCGTTGGTTGGTATTAACATCTGTTGTCTATCTCTGGTGTGCACAATTCAGTGTCCTACCTTTTCCTAATGTTATTATGGTGGTCATAGACTCTTTCCATATCTCCCTCCCCTTACCCACATCAGTGTGCGGGCCCCAACTAGTCTGGAATTAATTAGTTCCCTTCCCCACCCCAGTAACCTACAATGTGAGTCCCCTTTCGCAAGCAAACCCTGCTTTGTCTTTTTACAATAATGGGCTCATACAGTATTTGTCTTTCTGCGATTGACTTATTTCACTCAGCATAATGTCCTCCAGGCTCATCCACGTTGTGAGATGATTCGCGTATCCCTCATTGTTCTTTTATTCCATTGTGTGCATGCGTGTACTATAATTTGGTTATCCATTCATCCATCGATGGGCATTTAGGTTGTTTCTGTCTCTTTGCTACAGTCATTTGTTCTGTGATGAACATAGGTGTACATATGTCTGTTTGTGCGCTGTCTCTCACCTCTTTAGGATATATTCCTAGTAATGGAATTGCTAGGTCAAATGGTATTTCTCTTTTCAGTTTTTTAAGGAAACGCCATACCGTATGCCATGAGGTTGTACCATTTTACAATCCCATCAGCAGTGCACAAGAGTTCCAATCTCTCCACAACCTCCCCAGCATTTGTTATTTTCTGATCTGTTAAACTTTGCTATTATTTCTGGGGTGAGATGATATCTCATCATTGTTTTGATTTACAACTCTCTAATGACTAACGATCGTGAGCAATTTCTCCTGTTTGTTGGCCGCCAGTATATCTTTGGTGAAGTGTCTGTTCAAGTCTTTTGCCCATTTGTGAATTGGGTTATGTGTCTTTTTGATGTTGAGGTGTTGAAGTTTTCTATAGAGTTTGGAGATAAATCCTTTATTAGATATGCCATAGGCAAATATTTTCTCCCAATCTGTAGGTTCTCTTTTTACCCTTTTGACAAAGTCTTTCAATGTGCATAATGTCCTTAATTTTTAAAAGGTTGCTCAGTCATCTAGCTTCTCTTCTACCTCCTGCACATTCTGGATTATGCTTGATAAATTAGGGTCCCCAGATTTGTCCCTATTTTATCTTTGATGAATTTTGTAATTTTGGGTTTTACATTTAAGTCTTTGATCCAGCTTGAGTTTTTTTTTGTGTATGGGCTGAGGTATGGGACTTTTTTCATTTTTCTGCAAGTGGATATCCAGTTTTGCCAAAACCATTTGTTAAAGAGGCTATCTCTTCCCCATTTAATGGGTTTTGGACCTTTGTCAAAGATTAGCTGCCCATAGATGGATGCATCTATATCTGGACTTACGATTCTGTTCCATTGGTCTATCTGTCTATCATTGTACTAATACCACGCTCTTTTGACTACTGTGGCTGTATAGGAGTTCTTAAGATCTGGGAGTGTGAGACCTCCCACTTTGTTCTTCTTCTTCAGAAGTGCTCTGCTTAATCTGAGGTCTCTTTCTTTTCCATATGAAGTTAGTAATTGGTTTTTCCATGTCTTTAACAAATTTTGTTGAAATCTAGATCGGGATTGCATTAAATGTATAGATTGCTTTAGGTAGTATTGACATTTTCACAATATTCAGTCTACCTATCCATGAATAAGGTAGGTTCTTCCATTTATGTAGTGCCCTTGTTATCTCTTGTAGTAATGTTTTATAGTTTTCTTTGTATAGATCTTTTGTGTCTCTGGTAAGGTTTATTTCTAGATATTTTATCTTTTTAGTAGCTATTATAAATGGTATCATTTCCCTTATTTCTTTATCAGAGGACTTTTTGTTGGTGTAGAGGAATCCAACTGATTTTTGTATGTGACCTTTTATCCTTCCACTTTGCTGAACCTCTCTATTAGTTCCAGTAGTTTTTGTTTGTTTGTTTGTTTTTTTTTTTAATGAGTCCCTTGGGTTTTCTATGTACGGAATCATATCATCCACAAACAGAGATAGTTTTAGTTCCTCTTTGCCAATTTGTATGCCTTTTATTTCTCTTTCTTGCCTTATTGCCCTGGCCAGTGTTAAATAGAAGTGGTGATAGAGGGCATCCCTGTCTGGTTCCCGTTCATAAGGGGAATGCCTGGAGTCTTTCTCCATTAATAATGATGTTGGCCGTTGGCTTTGCATATATGCCTTTTATTATGTTGAGGAATTTCCTTTCTATCCCTATTTTGCTGAGAGTTCTGAATAGGAGCGAGTGTTAGATTTTATCAAATGGCTCTTCTGCATCAATTGATATAAATACGGTTCTTTTGTTTTGTTTATGTGGTGGATTACATTGATTTTCTGATGTTGAACCACACTTGTAAACCTGGTATAAATCCCAGTTGGTCCGGGTGTATTAATTTTTTGATATGTTGTTGGATTCTGTTGGTTAGAATTTTGTTGAAGATTTTTTCATCTATGTTCATGAGGGATATTGGTCTGTAGTTTTCCTTTCTAGTGGTGTCTTTGCCTGGTTTTGGTATTAGTGTTATGCTTGCTTCATAAAATGAGTTTGGGAGTACCCATCTTTTTCTGTGTTCTGGAATAGCTTGAGTAGCGTAGATATCAACTATTCTCTGAATATTTGGTAAAATTCCCCAGTGAAGTCATCAGAGCCAGGACTTTTCTTTGTGGGAAGTTTTTTTATGACCTGCTCAATTTCTTCTTTTGTTACAGGTCTGTTCAAGTATTCTGTCTTTGAGTGGGATAGTTTAGGCAGGTCTTGTGATTCTAGAAATGTGTCCATCTTCTAGGTTCTCAAATCTCTTGGAGTATAGTTTTTCATAATATCTGTCAGTATCTTTTTTATTTCAACTGATTCTGTTGTGATGGCACCCTTTTCATTTACAATTCTTGTGATTTGGATCTTCTCTTTCTTTTCTTTTGTTAGATTTGCCAGTGGTTTATTGATTTTGTTAATCTTTTCCAAGAACCAGCTTTTTGTTTTGTTGATTTTTCTGTATGGTTTGTTTTCTGTTTCATTTATTTCTACTCTGATCTTTATTATAATTTCCTTACTTTTAGATAGTGTAGGACTCTTTTGTTGTTGTTTTTCTAGTTGTTGGAGTTGATGAGGTTGAGTGTTGATTTTGTTTCCTTCCTCTTTTTTGGTGTATGCATTTATTGCTCTAAACTGTCCTCTGAGTACTGCTTTTGCTGTGTCCCATAGGTATTAGTATGATGTATCTTCATTCTTGTTTGTTTCTAGGAATTTTTTTATTTCAGTTTTTATTTGTTCTATTACCCAGTAGTTTTTGAGCAGTGAATCGTTCAGCTTCCACATGTTTGATGTTTTTTCCTTGATCTCCTTTTATTAATTTATAATTATATAATATTGTGGTCTGAGAAGATGTTTTATAGTATTTAAATGCTTTTAAATTTATTGAGGCTTGTTTTATGTGCTGACATATGATACGTTCTGAAGAAGGATTCACGTGCACTGGAGAAGAATGTGAATTGTGCCTTTGTTGGGTGAAATCCTCTGTGTCTATGTCTATGAGGTCAAGTTGGTTGATTGTATTGTTGAGTTCTTCTATATCTTTGTTGAGTTTTTTTTAGTTGAATTGTCTGTTTCAAGTATTTCAATAATTATTTCAACTGTATATGCTCTGAATTTGGTACAAAGTGTATATTGTTTTGGTTCTGGAATTAAGTACTGTTGACTGTTAGAAAATTTATTACTTTTCTGGGTGTGCATTATTATAGAAGACTGTATACCTGCAGCTTAAGAGGACAGAAAATATTACAGTGTACCAATTATTTCAGATATTAAGCACATGAACATGTGTTATTTATTATAAACAAGCTTCCATTTCTATTTTCACTTATTATTTTTTAATAATTGTAAATTTATAAATTTCAGATACTGATGGACCAGAGAGTAAAAGAAAGTGATCACCAGATTCTCAAGCGACGACTTCGAACAAAAATGGCTAAATAAATCTTTTATGAAGAATGTTATAATATAAACTTTATTCATAATCATTGTAACTTACATCCTGACTTTTTAAAGATAACAGTATATATTATATACATTAAATCACTCTATACATTGATTGCTGTTTTATACATAGTGTAATTTTATTTCAATAAAGAATATAACTCAATAATCAGTTTCCTTGTATATTTTTATGAGGCTTTGACAACTAACTTCTTTTTAAATTGTGTGTATTTCCCTGTTATCCATGGCATGGAATTATTGAGGATCTGAAGAAAGACGCTGTTATTCTTATTTATCTTTCTGTGCAGGGATTTTACAGGTCAGATACTTGGTTTACTTATAACATGTCTTAGAGGTTGTTTTCACTCCATTAGGATACACAGCTGATTTCACACATCTGTTTGAAGTATATTTAGATTCCATAGTGTTCGATCTAAGAAGGGCCATGCAGATGGAACAGAGAAGAAGGGCACTCAACAGATGAGTATAAAAGGAGGTGCTAAGATGGCAGAAGCATGGACCTAGCTCATCTATTGAAGCAGGAGCACAGAAGTCTCTGGAAGAAGATCAAATCGATAGAATGTTTGATGTGTAAAAATCGGTGAAGATTTAGACATTGGCTTTTGGGTATAGATTAGAAAACTATGGATTAAATTGTGTATCGTGCCCCCCCCCCCAAATATGTATTATACAACCTGTATCTGTGGATGTAATACCATTTGGAAATAGGACTTTATTTGTTATGTTAATGAAACCATACCAGTGTAGGGTATGTTTTCAGCCAATCATCTTTGAGATAGAAAAGGAAGAGACTAGGTAGATACAGAGAAGAGAGCACAAATGAAGGGGAGGATACACAGTCCACATGAAGATCACCAAGGAACCAAGGAACAGAAGCTGAGAAGAGGCAAGGAACTTTCCCTTGAGCTGACATAGAAAGGCTCCCCTAGAGCCAGGACCCTGATTTTCGACTTCTAGCCTTCTAAACAGTGAGAAAATAAATGTTTGTTAAAGTCACCTACTTGCAGAATCTCTTTTATATCACGCCAAGTAAAACTAAGAAACTAGCAAATGCAAAAACATTTTTTCAGGTATTATTAATTCTAAGAATTAAGAAGACAAAATATTGTAAAGAAGTAAATGTAATCCGAATATATTATTTGGTTTAGCAAGGTATATTTCATAATGCAAACATTGAATATTGTTTAAAAAATTGATAAATATTTAGAGACATTTGGAAAGGGATGGGATAAAAGTGGGCAGTGGTGCTGCTTGGTGTAAGACCTTATATTCCATAGTGGGGAGTCAGTGGATAATACCTAAAACAGGAGTAACACCAGTATCTTTATGTTATTTAAAGATAGGGAGTAAATTCCAAAAGAAAAGGCTAAAAGTACTGTGAGGAGTGGGAAAAATAGGGGTCAGAGGGTTCCTGTGTTTTTGGTTGTTTGTTGGTTTATTTGTTGCCTTTTTGGTAAGAAGACTTATGAGAACAATTTGGCATTTTAGGATGATATACTTCAGTAAAAATGGAAAGGTAGTATAGAAAATATGGTACCAATGTTGTTTATATAATAGTTCTTAACCTATCACTTTTTATGTCAGAAGTGAGAAGAAATTAAATCGTTATATTAAAAAGTTTATGTTGAATGTAATATGTAATTATGGTATTGTGAATTACTTAATGTGGTTCTTCTAGCCATGGTCTTTTTTACTCCCACCAGATGATTGGATGGGACTATATAAATGTGTGATGCTTGTGTCTCACCAAAGGGGTTGGATAGCTTGTTAATAATGTAAATACATAATGATGTAAAACACTCTTGTGGGGGTGGGACCATGCCAATAAGGTGTTTGGAACCGAAATGAGGTGATTGGTCAGTTTTGCCGTTTGCTAGGTTTAAAATGAACCATCCCAGAGGTGTAAAGGGGGATCTCACTACCATCAAGAAAGAGCCAGGAGTAGAGCCTGTCCTTGGACCCTAGATCCTTGCACTGGACCTCCTGGGCAGAAAGATGGTGGCAGCATAGGCAGCAGAATCAAACGACTGGCACGAGACAAAGCATTGGGCTTGCTGGCCCACAGAGGGAGAAAGCTGAGTGCCTTTGGGCAGGAGACATGGTGGTGGAATGGGCTGCACCTATCAGCAGAACTAAAAGAGCTTTGTAACACTTGCCCGAGCAGGACAGAGACCAGGCCAAGAGGTTGAGGCCAAAAAGAGTTGTAACTAAGGGCATAGTCAGGGAGAGACTGTCCTCACTGAAGAATTGTATCCTGATCATTCCTGATCCTGAATTGTAACCTGCTTTCTAATAAACCCCATCACTGTAAGTAGTCTGTGAGTTCTCTGTGGCCATTGCAACGAATTATGAAACCCAACAGAGAAGTAGTGAGTGCCGCGGGGGGGGACACTTGGTATTAGAATTGGTTTAAAGTTTGGAAGGTGGCAGCATATCTGACCCCTACCTCATGGGCATCAACCTTGGGGTTGTGCTGCTGCTGATGATTCTGTCTCCCACTCATGAAGTTAAAGGAGGTCAGAAGATGCCACCCCCATATGCTTTTTTGCAATAATTTATGAAGCATTCTGAAATCTTGTCATACCAAGTGTTTTGGAGAGGGAACAATCTGATTATCTGCCCATGTTTTCTGTTGGGTGATTCAATGAACTATACACCTAGGTAGTAATTAAGGCATTAAACTGATTCCGACTTAGAGTGATCCTACACTAAGGGTTTCCAAGGCTGTAATCTTTACAGAAACAGACTACCACATCTTTCTCTCATGGAGCAGCTGGTGGGTTCAAACTGCTGACCTTTCGGTCCACAGCCGAGTGCTTAACCACTGTGCCACTAGGGCTCCTTAAAGCATTAGTGGATTGAAATTATGTTTAATGAATGGAAACTTGTAGAACATTTAAATAGAATTTTAGGAAGACATTAAAACAGAATAGAAACATTTTAAGACAACCATTTTAATGGAGGTATTGGACAATAGGTACCAGTAAACTGATCTTTGAGAGAAGAGAAAATCCTGACATCAACCCCACCATTGTTCGTGTTCTCTTCCTGTGGACAGTTTCCCAACTATAGCAGTGAGCTGGAGCCTCAACAGAATAGAGATCCGACTGGTATGGAGACAAAGATAAAAGTTTTGGGCCATTTAAATGGCTTGATTTTATAGGGACAGGATACCAGGGTGGAGAGCTGTGCACGAGTTACTCAAAAGTGTGCTATGATTTTCTGAAAAGTTTTGCTTAAGAAGGCCTATGCATAAAAGGAGACTGTACAAGACTTACCAGAAAGCTGCTGCTAGAGGGTTGAGAATGAAACCAATATGATAGATGTTGAGTATTATTGGGAGATCTTTGAGTTCTGTTTTTGCTAGGGTGGAGACCAGAAAGTCCACAACTTACCAGTAAGAACTTCATCCTAAAGAAAAGACTAAAATTGAGCCTCAGAAAGATCCACAAGGGAGATAGAGTTTAGAGGCTGAATTCTGACAAATTGACTTGAAAAACACCTTGGGCATCTCATAGATCCACACCAACAAGGTACAAAACCAAGGCTACACAAGTTGAAAGTTACTGGCCAGTGATCAAAATGCCTACTAGAAGAAAAAAATAAACCCTTCAAAGGAAGACAACCCTTTACACGCAAGAGAGCCAGGTTTGATTCCTGGCCAGTACACCTCCTGTACAGCCAACACATGCCCTAATCCAATGTAAAGGGAGTTTCCTGGGGGTGTGGGCTGCATCACCTTTTTTCATACAAGAGATAAAAGGAGACAGAAGTGAGCAGAGAGGAACTTGACTGCCACCAAGAAAGAAGAGCCAGGAGTGAATCATATCCGTGGTCCCTGTGCTGAGAACCTCCTGGACCCATGGGACAATTAATGCCAAGACTCAAGTAGATCTCCAAGGAATACCAGGCCCACAGATACTGAAAGGAAACAACAAACTTTGTCTAGAGCCAACAAAGAAAGAAAGCCTTCCCCTGGAATCAAAACTCTGAATTCAGAATTCTAGCCTCCTAAAATGTGAGAGAAAAAATTTCTGTTTGTTAAAGCCATCATGATATTTTTGTTATAGCAGCACTAGATGACTAAGACAGTCCTTATGGATTCCAAAAGCCTTGTTCATCAGCTGATCCAACTCTGCAAGTTTTCATATTCACAGCCGCATATACTGAATGTTTTCACCGACGCCAATTTCCTTTCATCTTAGCCAGGAGAAACAGGTGAACGTAATGTTCTGATTCCGTTAACCTACCACATCAACCTGTGCTTCACATCTTGACTGCCTGGCTTCCCTATTCTTGACCTTCCTCCCATCACTCTTTTGAAGTAAAACAGAAGCATTACTACACCTGTAAATTGCAGTGATTGCAGTTTAATGAGGATCAGCACATTCATTACTCTCTACATATTTTGTAAAGCATAGAGTCTGTTAATGTATCCACTTTGGCCAAATTCTAAAGAATGACCAGACTGGGCACTAGACTGGCATTTTTCTTATAGATGTATATGTAATTATATATCATTTAATTGTGTAATCTTTCCTTAGATGACTTTTTAAATTTATTTGAGCACGAATCATCAAGAATGACCATTAATAACACCCACAAGTTACTCTGGAAGTAAAATGTTAAAAAGAAGTTAAAATTGATTTTTAAAATACTTAACAGAAAATAAGGGAGCTCTAGTAGTGTAGTGCCTAAGGCACTTGACTGCTAACCAGAAGGTTGGCGGTTCAAACCCACCAGCCACTCCTCAGAAGGAAGGTTGACTTTCATAGAGATACTGTCCCGGAAACCCAAGGACGGGTCACTATGAAT